AGGACTAGTGCTGCTGTTAGGTACAGCAAGATACACCAAAACACCACTTTTTATGCTTTCATTCAGCACACTGAGAGGTTTGGTGGCTGTGAAGGATCATAAACCACAAACCCCCTATACACACCCCTAACTGGTTTGCCCACATAGAGTAGGGGTAGGATAGTAATGATGTTTAAATTAAGTGTCTGCAATCCTTATTAATTTCAAAGCACTTAAGAGTTGTTTAAAATATTATTATTTACAATACATAATTTCTGGGTGATTTTCAGTTGTTTGTGTCAGTTGTAGAGTCATTGTGTAGTTAAGTTTTATAATTATGTTTTCTGTTATGTGATGACTGCTGATCGTCTACTGCTGCCTTCAGCTGAGGCTTCAGAAAACAAGCAAACAATACTCCCAAAATGAGGTGACAAGACTCATGATAAAACCACCAGGAAGAATTCAGTGATCAACCTGTAACATCTGGATCCCTTACACTGTTGAACGGCAGCAGAATCATAGAATGGTTTGGGTTGGGCTGGCTATTAATGCTCATTTAAACCAAACCACCTAGATCAGGCTGCTCAGAGTCCCACCTAACCTGGCCTTGAACACTTCCAGGGATGGGGCTTCTACAGCTTCTCTGGGCAGCCTACTCCATTGTCTCACACTAAAGGATTCCTTCCTCATGTCTAACCTACATCCCCCCTCTTCTAGTTTTAATCCATTTTCCCTTGCCCTCTTGCTACAAGCCCTTGTAACTAGTCCTTCCCCAGCTTTTCAGCAGGTGGACACCACGATGAGGCCTCCCTGCAGCCTTCTCTTCTCCAGGCAGAACAACCCCAGCGCCCAGCCACGCGGACCAGGCCTCCTTCAGAGCTGTCAGTGACACGGAGCAAGAGCCATCCGCTCCAAAATAACCCCATGTGTCACCATCCCTGGAAAAACACGGGGCATACAGTCCGTAAGCCCCACAGAAACAGCATATGCCTTCCAGGGCACCAGAAGGTTTTTCGAAACGAGGGATTTGTGTGCGGGGTCGAGACTCGCAGCCTGAGCAGGCAGGGTGAAATCAGGCTGCACCGCTGGAAAGCCGCGCAGGAGTCAGCGCCGTGACGCCTCCAGACACAGGGTCCCTAGGGCTGCTCCCCTCCGTGCCCGGGGGCGAGACGCACCCGCCTCGCACCCACTCGGGGCACCGGCCATCTTGCTTACCCCTCTCCCGGCAGCCGCCATCTTGCGGTGCCGTACAACAGGCGGCAGCCATGCTGGTGGTGAGCGCCGCGGGCGCCGCCATCTTGGGGCCGCCCCCTCCGTGACGCAGCCGGCGGACATCTTGGTAGAGGGCCGTTACAGCGCGGGTCGGCGGCCTCCCCGCTCCTCACCCCTTAACTAAGATGGCGGGGCCCGCGCATGCGCAGAGGCGGGCGCTGGCCCGGCTGGTGCCGGCGGTGGTGGCGGATCGGCCGGCGGGCTCTGCCAGCAGCCCTGGGGGAGACCGAGAAGCTGTATTACGTGTACAGCTGCGACCTGGACATCAACGTGCAGTTGAAGATGTGAGTGAGGGGAGGAGGGGGGGTCGGAGCGGGGCTTGTAGTGTCTCCCTGCTCCTCTTCGGGCGGCCGGGACTGTGCGGGAAGCGGCCCGGTCCCCGCCGCGACGGGGGACAGGCTGGGCCGCTCCTGGAGATGCGTTGGCTGCCCCGCGGGGGCCCGGGAAGGCGGCGGTGCTGGCTCTGCGTCCAGCACAGCAGCGCCGGGGGTTCCTGGCTGGGACCGCCGCCGGGTTCCCTCGGGGCGGGGGCAGCGCGGCCGCGTCCCCCTCAGCCCCGGTGCCCCGTGCCGAGCCGTGTGGGAGGGGGCGGGGGAGGGGCCGCGGCAGCAGCGGGGCCGGAGCTGTGGGCTCTGAAGGCCTTACACATTCTCGGGGCCTTCGGTTCCTGCAGGGCCAGGGCGGTGCTGGGAGGCACAGACTGTCCGCTCAGCGCTACATGTCTCTGATGAGCTTGCTGTCACAGCTCCCCCCCCGGTGTTGGGGGAAGGAAATAAACTGGCGAGGCTCTTTTTCCTACTTGTTTGCGTGTTCTTTTGAAAGCAAGTTGCTATTAGTCGGGTTCTTTGTTGTAGGCAGATCCAGGTGCTGCGAAATGTAAGTATGTTCTTAACTAGATGTATGCAAGCTTCATTTTGAGTCACACAGTGATGATGTATTTGCTGGTTCATTTTTTTCATTTTTAAGTTTGGGATAGTTCAGCATCACAACAATGGGATGTATAGGAGGGACATAGCTGGCTCTAAAGTGCAGTGTACCTAACGTTGATACATTAAGGTATATTGCACAGTTTTTTTGAAAACTAACTTAGGGAAGCTTGTTTGAGGGCTGTTTAACTCCTGAATGGAAGATAGTATCTCAAGTCATATGTATGTGTCCTCTTTGCTAATTCATTGCCTAACAAAAATGTAACTAGGATTTTTTTGTGCATCTGAGTGTACATCAGCCTGGAATGTGCTCTGCTAGTTCTTGTAAGAAACTCGTTAATCTTCTCTGAATTGTTTTGCTAGTGTTGATGGATTTGTTTGTTTGCTGAAAGATTGATCTTGCATTTTTTCCCATCACTATCATGTTTCCTTGTTTGTTCTCACATGTGAATCTACAGTCAGATATTTTAATATGCATGATTCTAATTGTATTACAGTTGATGCCTGAGAAGTTCCATCAATTTACCCTAACACTAGCATTCTGCAAATTGTTGCAGGGCTTTAATCAAGTTTGATTTGAACAGTCAAAGGTGACTTAAATAATATGTCTATTGCCCTGCTTAGGGTGCCTCATTTGATGCTGTCTTAAGAATCTGCAGGTTGTACTGGAAGAAGTTCTCTCCATTGAAAAGACAAACAAGTAATTCTTACCTTTCCTGTGCTTACCCCCTCACCCCTGATTCAGTATAGCAGTACATTTCGTATTTGTTCATTACTTCACATCCTGAGTTCCTCTCCAGTGTCTAGATTTCACTTCCTGCTGGTAATGTAAAGAGGGGAAATAAAATAGAATTTTTGCTGTGCATAAAATAAATGTTGATTTGCTTGTTTTTTCTCTTTCCCCTCTTTTTATTTTTTTTTAATTTTGTTTCTTTCATTTTTCCTTCCCCACATAGAGGAAGTCTGGAAGGGAAAAGAGAACAGAAGAGTTACAAAGCTCTCTTAGAAGATCCAATGCTGAAGTTCTCAGGACTGTATCAGGAAACTTGCTCTGACTTGTATGTAACTTGTCAGGTGTTTGCAGAAGGAAAGCCTCTTGCTCTTCCAGTTAGAACTTCCTACAAAGCTTTTAGCACTAGATGGAAGTAAGTAACTCCCTTTTGTTTCATATTTCTCTTCGTTACCTGAGCATCAAATTATATGAAGGAAATCTATTTTATTTTTTTATAACTGTCAAAAACATTTGTTTTCTATTGGCTTTGTTAAATAACTTCTACTTCTTCAAGTCTCTTTATGGTTGTTAAATGTTGCCCTGAAAGTACAAAACAAACCTTTTTGTGTAATGGGTAAGTAATAAAATTGTTACTTGTGTGTTTGGGCATTGCTCACTGGTTAAATAACTTCTGGGGTCTGGGCTAGCAGACTTCATACTGCAGACTGGACAAGGTGATCTCTGGTACTTAGTCATGAAGCTAGAGTATTTTTGCTCTGATCTCTAGCCTTTAAATCATGCTCAAGACAAGTATCTGAATGGTTAAACCCCACAGGAAAGTATTCCATCTGCCATTAGAAATTTGTATTCTAAGAATCATCTTGGTTGTATAACCTATTACAGAGTAACTTAAATTCTGATATTTTATGGCTAATAACAAGTGTTCTCTGCAGCTGGAACGAGTGGCTGAAGCTACCTGTGAAGTATCCAGACTTGCCTCGCAACGCGCAGGTGGCTCTGACCATCTGGGATGTGTATGGACCCGGGAAAGCAGTTCCTGTGGGAGGAACAACTGTCTCACTCTTCGGGAAATATGGGTATACTGATTGTTTCTTTTGTGTGTATAGTACAGGTTTGAAGCTCACTTGTGAATAGTAAGGTAGCAGTGGTTCTAAGAGATTTTTTAATTTTTTTTGAAACCAGGGTTAACTATTCAGTTTTTGAAAAGTCAGATGCATAGATGTTTTACTGTATTTTCTTCATGCTACTATGGTGTAAGACAAACAAACAAACAAAAAAAGCTTTGCCTGGTATAACACAGAAATTCAGTCTTTTTATTAGATCTGTAAGGTTGGACTTTAAGGTAGCAAATGCTGAAGACATTCATATATATGAAATTCTATTTCCAGCATGTGGGGCCTAAGGACAGAAAGCAACAAAATAACTTTGAAATTCTGTGTTTACTTGTAAATGCAAACCCTTGTATTTTCATTCTAGTCAGTATTTCTCATTTTTAATGCTTGACTTAAAGCGTTCCTTCAAACTGTGTTTACCTGAAGTTGTTAGAATTGAGTGGTCGCCTCTTACTGGCAAAAGAAATGCTCTTAATTTCTTGGGGCATCTTATATAGATGGATCAGCACAAATATAAAAGGGAAGCAGGGTCTTGCAGAGAAGAGATGTGGTCAGTTAACCTGTGGAGCTCTGTTCAAAGCAGTTTCAATTAACAATTTAATTTCAAGTATAGATGGATAAAATGATGTGCTGAGGCTTGTGGAATTTTTTGTTTGTGGGTTTTTAGGGGTTTTTTTTTGGTGTGGGTTGGTTTTTTGTGTGTTTGTTGGGGTTTTTTTTTGTGTTTGGGGTTTTTTTGTTGTATTTTTGGTTTTTTTTTTCTGACAACTGAGGAGGCTGTTTTTTATCAGATGACTTTCAAATTAAACTTAAGTAGTTTTTTATTTGTTTTATTTTCTGTCAGACTCCAAGTCAGTAATAAAATTTGCAAGGCAAGAGGACTGCTTTTTGCTTCATTATAAATAAAACCACGAAGGCCAAGCTCTGTCCTCAGTTTGTGTTTTTTTCCACTCACCAAATAAGTAATTTTAGAATTAAGAATTTTCTTCTAAACTCCATGTGCCAATAAAAATGATGGCTGTGGAGGCACAGGAAGGAAGGAAGACATTATAGCAGCTCAGCTAGATTATGCACTGTTGTGGCAGTGAATGTTTGTAGGTTTGGCGAAGGAAGATACTTCATTTTTGTGCAGCTGCTGCTGTACTTTCATTCTGGACAGTTCTATTATACTGAATTTACTGAAGTGATTCTGCATTTTCCCCTGCAGTATGTTTCGTCAGGGAATGCATGATCTGAAAGTCTGGCCCAATGTAGAAGCTGATGGCTCGGAGCCCACCAAAACTCCTGGGAGGACCAGTAGCACAATCTCAGAAGACCAAATGAGCCGCTTGGCAAAGGTGATGGAAATGCAAGTAGCCTTTCAGATGTATATATGAAAACCTTGCACTTTTCGCTGGAGTAAGATGAGGACAGAATTTAGTGACAACAGCATATGCATCTCATGTTGTTTTACCATGTGAAAAAGATCTCCATTTGGTTGTTTAGATACTTCACAAGAGATACACAAGTGAGTAAATGAGATCATACCCAATTGCTACCATGTATTTTTAAAAGAGGACATAGAAATATCTTTTAATATACATAGCATTCAGTTGCAACAACTTAGCATCCTGTTTCTTCGTAATGGCTGCAAGTGTGAACATGCTTAGATTTTTAAAGCCGGAATTCCAAAAGGTTCAGTAAGAGCAGCTCCTAACAGCAGCTTGTGAGGACAGTCTGGTTTCTTTCAGTAGCCATCCTTTTGGTTTCAGGCTGTCTTGTATGGTGTTCACATGCATGTGACAGACCTGTACATTAGAAACTTCTGTGTAGAACTGCAGAAATAAGTGAGCGTTGTTCATTTAAGCTCATGAATGTGTGTATATTAGTATTTTCTTCTCCCAGCTTTATGGCAGAGTATATTTTTGGCATCAGAATTACTTCTGGAAATGGTGACTAAATGTCAGCTCTTAAACTGCTGGACTAGCTGATCTCATTCTTCAGGTACACTTGCCCCCAGGTTGCCAAATGGTTCAGCCCTTGCTTAGTGTGCTTGGCCTCCTAGTTTTCATCCTCACCTTTGTGCAAGTCCCAGGGAAAGATAGGTCCAGTGCCATAAATATGTTGCTTTCCTTATCTAGAAATTTATCACAGCAACAAACTAACTTGCATTTAGATTCTCTTTTTTATTAGGCTAGTTCAGTTTGGATTGATAATGGAAAACTCATTAAAACTTTCTGCCAGTGGCAGTGGCCCATATTTTGATCACAGTAGAATCAAACCCCTCTAGCCTGTGGAAGCTCTGTACACAAATGCTGAATACTAAGGCTTATAGTTCATCAAATGGTTGCATGGTGTAGGCAGTCGGTCTTTGAGAAAGGGTTTCAGACTGTAGGCTTTTCCTTTTGTCTTTGGTCTGTTATGCAAATGTAATCATCCTCTGCCACTGTTTTTTTTCTTCTTCCCTTCACTCCCTTACACTCTCTAGCTCAAAGAAACAAAAATAATGTGGAGCATTTCAGTCTTAAAATACCTGTGTCTGTTCTAGCCTGTTCTTCTGACATATGGGAGGTGAGGGCTGTGAGTTTCTGAGGAAGAGGAGGAAATTCTGCTTTCACATCCCCAGTGAGAGTTCTAGTTAATGGCTAATAAAAAGCTAATAGTTTCATTGACACCAGTCTTCTCTTTTGAAAGCTGTGTTGGGAGATACTAATTTCTGAAAGATGAATGTGTTTTCAGTGATATTTTGTTGTGCTCATTTTATAAAAACATTTTACCATCAGATGCTAGTGAAGGGAATAGTTTCTGGGTAGTATGTCTATGGGAGCTTTCATTTGCCAAGCCGTTTACACAGCAGATGAGGTTCTTGTGAGAGATCATTCCTAAATAGCCATTGTTTGAGCACAATCGGCTTCAGTTTTTCTATGCCTTACTCATCAGTTGCTTAATGCCTCCTGATGCTACCACACATGAGGGTATATTTAGATACAAGTAAAAGCAGTAGGACTAGTTGAAGATGAGTTTGTGTGGGCTTAATTATTCTTGTTCTGTTTTTTCCTGTTCATTGGACAGACATCATTTGTAAGTGTCCTGCTGTTGATTGATATCTGATACAAGCCACCAACTTAAGAGTCCTGTTAATAGGGAACTTTTCTGAAAAGCTTGTGGAAGGGCCATCTCTGTGCGTTTTCTTGGCATGCTTCTGAGTTTGTGTGTGTGGTATTTATCAGTGTAGGGA